ATTGTGTATTGGGAAGAAGGGTAGAAATTGAAAAGTCTTAGACCGGGTTTCTTGCATGAATTACAAATTTTATTTCGAGATGTTTTTAGTCCAAGATAACTAGATAGTTTTTATGGGGCTCTTCAGTACCTTTCCGTGCATATAAAGATCACTAATATTAGAGTTGAAATGAAGAAGGTGTGGCCGTTTGAAATTGAGTTGAATGGTGAAGGAATTTGGTAGGTTGGGCGTACACTAGGTACGCAGAGTGTAGTGGGACATGCCTTTGGTAAGTTACGCTGGACATACATGATCATGACCCAAACCCTAAATCTGTTGTTTTGAGCCCTATTTAAGCATCTTAACTCCTCTAAACCTCTTCCGTTCTCAGCCTCCATCTCTCCAAACGTCCTCTTTGAAACCTTAACCCTAGTTTGAGCCTTGTTAGCTAAAAAGTGTGTTTTTTGGGTGCCTTTAAAGGAAGAAGAATGTGGTGATAGTGCTTGAAATCTTGAAGCAACTTTGGATCTAGAATTTCTCCTCCCTCATTCATCTCCAAAAGTGGATTATAGGAGCAAGCAGTGCAAAAACAGGAGCACATCGTAGTGTATCCAAATTCTTTGATTAAGGTGAGTTCTCCTCGTTGTACCTGTGGGTCGAAGGCACCAATTCCAGCTGTAACATCTTAAAAAAAAGTTTTTAAAAACAACACATCATCATAAAATGTTTACAAAATCATTGTTTCCAAATTGTTCATCAATATCAGAGTATCCCAAAATCTTAAAACCATAGCAGAGGATGCGTAAGGTCACCCCTTTGCCTTCTGCGATCATCAGAAGTACCTAAAACCATAACCAAAAACTGTAAGTCAACGCTTAGTGAGTTCCCCTAAAGTACCATCATATACAATATATCAAACAAACAGATAACGGGATCCCCGACCATCCTGGTTGGATTATCCCTGATCCATAAACTTACGGTTGGAATGCCTAACCCACAACCTTATTGTTGGAATGCCCAATACATAACGGGTGCACAACCTTACGAGTTGGATTACCCCTAGCCCATAACCTTACGGTTGGAATGCCTCGGTCTATTAACTTACAACACAAAGCAGTATTGTCTCAACGCCACCATACCAGGTCGACATGCATATAATAAAATAATATATATCTAAAAACAGATAAACATATAAATAGTTAACAGATTGGCAGGCATATCTACAATTACCACTGCATGCTAACATCCTATATACTAGGATACTGATCCAACCAGTTCTACATCATAACTAGCATACTATCATATAACATAATATCCAATCCATTGGGTCGGCCTTGGTGCCTTCCGCCCATAAGTACAATGATGAAGACTCACCTCTAAGTCTGGACAAAAGCTGATGAGGTCCTGATTCTGAGTCTCAGCTCTAACCGTCACATATCCAACCAAATGACTAATTTTTAAACACAATCCAAAATACCCAAAATACCCTTAAGTCAAATTGGATCAACTATGGTCAAAGTCAAAGTCAAACTGGTCAGAACCAACAAGTCAATCGAGTCAACTCAACTGAGTCAACTCAGGGTGCCTACGCGGGGCGTACTCTAGAAGTACGTGGGGTGTACTCGAGCATTGACCACCATCAGGGAGGTTGGCCACGTACGTGCTGCATAGTCAGGTTACACATGGCGTACGCCCAGTCTTCCCAAAAACACATTATGAGCTTAATATGTTAAGCTTTCACATCCAACTTCCAGATCCAAGGATAAAATACTAAATAGATTCATAAAGTTTCCAACTTTATGACTTTGCATGTCCATTAAGTTCCCGAAATACAACATCTTAATGCATTAAGACCTTCTATAGAATATATGGAGCATAACTAACCGTCCAAACCACATTTTATGACGTAAGACCCTTCTTAAGGTCTAAAAGGATAACTTAATGGGTCAAGAACATGTCATGCTCAAGAATCACCATTTTGGGACCAAAAAGTGTCTTAAAAGTTCAAAAGTCTAGATCTACAAGATGGAGTGATCAAGATGCAAGATTTTTACCTTATGGAGCTCGCTAACAAGAAAGAAACCTCAGATCCAAAGTACTTCCCAAACTCCAAGCTCTCTACACCACTCTCTTCTTCTTTAAGAACACTTCAAATCACTCCAAAGGCTCCAAAATGCCCTCTCGTTCACTTAGGGTTGCTTAAGGGTCATTTTCAAAGAGGAAGGCAGAATAAGAATGAGATGTGAGGCTATAATGAGGTTTAAATATGGCTCAATCCATAAAACTTAGGGTTTGAATGATCCTCACGTACGCCGTACGTACGAGGTGTACACCTATCATACTAAGGCACACACTAGAACACTCAGCGTACACACGTACACTCAGCGTACTCTCCCAATAACGAAATTACCAAAATGCCACTAAGGTCCCTTTTGCACTCTTCTCTTACTTAGGGACCAAAATGCAATATTTAATCATACAAAGGGTCAAAATTGAAAATACCTCATCATCGGGATGTTACAATTCTTCCCCACTTGAATTAAAATTCTTCCTCAAATTCGACTGTCGTGAACAACTCAAGATAATGCTCCCACATCTCGGCCTCCAGCTCTGAAGTCCACTCGAAGCCCTTCTAATGTTGCCACTAAACTTTTACCAAAGGTATCTCCTTGTTGCGCATGATCTTCATCTTCCTCTCCAAAATCAATACCAACCTCTCGACATAATTCAAGAACTCTCGACCTAAATATCATCTAAAGAAACCATTGCCTAATCGTCAATCACACACTTTTTCAATTGAGAGACATGGAAAGTGTTGTGGATCTGACTGAGCTTACTCGACAAATCCAATCGGTAGGCCACCCTGCCTACCCTGGCGATCACAAAGAAAGGTCCAATATATCGAGGACCCAATTCTCCTCTTCCTGAAGCGTATCACAACCTTCCAAGGTGAGACCTTTAGTAATACCATATCGCCAACCTGAAATTTCAACTCAGATCGACGTCGATTGATATAAATCTTCTGATGACTCTAAGCTGTCTACAATATCTACCTGATCTGTTGCATAAGCTCCATGGTCTGAAGGACTACATCGGTCCTTCCCATAACCCTATGACCGACCTCTCCCTAACATACTGGGGTACAAAACTTCTGTCCATACAAGAGCTCAAAAGGTGGGGCACCAATGTTGGAGTGATAGTTGTTGTAGGAGAACTCCACCAATGGTATGTGATATGTGCATATATATATATATATATATATATATATATATTACATCATATCTTAATATTTTTAGCTATATTTATGCTCATTATAGAATAAAAGGTACTTATTATGTTTAGTATTTGTTATGTAGTATAAAAGACATGCTCGGAAGCAATATGGAAGTTGGAAGCAGGAAAATGTGCACTTAAGCAAGAAGATGATACATAAAGGATGTTGTTGGACAGCTTGACCCCTCGTCAATATTTTGATCATATTTCATGACTCATAACTTCGATTAAGGTATTTCAAAATGTTCTAAAAATTAGACACAATTTCGGATGACTTTTATGTTTTGAGAAAAGTCCGATTTCCAACCACCACGATGTGGTGAATGGAATCTTTGCGATTGTTTATGTTGACTTGGAGAATACCGGATAAACACGAGGACCACGACGTGGTGCCATTACCACGACATGGTGACCAAATTTTAGGAATATATATATATATATATATATATATATATATATATATATATATATATATATATATGTATATATATATATATATATATATATATATATATATATATATATATATAAATCCGAACATAGGTTCGAATTGAGAGACTTGGAGGTGACTTTCTGGAGAAGTATTAGAAAAAAGAACCTCTGGAAAACCCTTAGAAGATGATGTTTAGCTTTATTCCTATTGAGTTTTTGTGTTTGATTACTTCCATGAGTAGCTAATTTAGTAGACTTTCGTTTAGTTAGATGAAACCTAAAAGTATTAGTTAGTTTCTTACTTTATGGATTGCATGAAATTTGTTTATGCATGTGTTTGATAATCATTACCTAGCGTGTTAAAGTTTGTAACTTTGTTGCTTAAATTCAGGTTTAGTGTAGCTTAGGTACCATTAAATTACATTAATTTGATTACCTGGTGATTTAGTGACTATTAAATTACTAGAGCTAGGATCGATCAAATCTTAGATAAGTAATAAAAGTAACAAATTTAGTTGTGTTGGAGAGCATAATTGTGACCATAATTGTGTTTGCTTAGATGAATCTTACATAGCTCAATTATAATTAATAATTAATTCTATGTTTGCTTGTGTATGACCATAGAATTAATTGGTGAAAACCTTGCACCTCTTAACAAATGAATTGGTGAAAATATTAGTAAAGTTGGACTTGAATTGCTAATTACACAATAATTGGTAACCAACTTTAATAACCCATAATTAGTAACTAACCATTGGAAAAGGTGGATTCGAAACTAAACGAAAGTGTTTTAAATATATTGATTACAATCATTTTTAGTTGAGTGCTTAAGTTTTTCTCAACTTGCAAAATCAAATAAAACCATTTAAACATTTGCTTAGATTTTTAGGTTAATTTAGTAGCAAATAGATTAATTAATTAAATTTTTTTCCTATAATCAACACCCTACTTACACATGCTATACTATAATATGACTAGGTACACTGCCTAGGTGCATTTTAGCTAATTAAGTTCATTAGGTTATAAATTTAAAACTAGTAGGGACTTTTGTGCACATCCAGTTTTTGGCGTTGTTGCTGGGGAACGAACAACCTAACATTGATTTTTATCTTTAGATTTTCATTCTAGATAGAGCAGTAAGAAGGATCTCTATGCAAGCTTTCTTGATGAAGGGTACCTCTTTATAAAAAAATTGTAATCTTCCCTTCCTTTTTTAATGGATTTTTCTAGCCTCAAATGCTATAGAATTCATTTGATAAGATAGCAATCCAATCGTAAACCGTAATCATTGACACACAAAAGCCAAATCATAAACTTCAGAGCAAGTTCAATAGTTTTCGAATAGCTTCCGTTGAATTACGCTTGATAATAATTAATGGAGTGGCAAGCAAGAGCAGAAGGAGGAAGGTGAGTAGGGAAGGGCTATAATGGCCATCCTCTCCATCCGGATGTGCAACAGGTTCTCGAGGAAGCCCACGCCCCAGGACATATTGGCGGCGCAAAGATATATGATCACCTAATGACCCTGGGGTACTATTGGCCAACTATGGAGATAGATTTAGCAACATTTATTAAGAGGTGCAAGGTTTGTCAACTACATGGCAACCTCATACAAGCTCCAGCCGTGGAACTCCCTACCCATTTCAAACTTGTGCCCTCGATTTCATCAGGAAAATAACCACTCCCTCGAGGGGAAAATGTTTCATTTTAGTAGCAACAGAGTTGCTCACCAAATGGACAGAAGCAGTTTCACTACGCCGAGACAACTCTCCTTCAAGTTGAGCCAATACACTTGTAGTTTCCACTTTTCTCTACATCATTTACTAAAACAGTGATCTCATTATTACCTATTCTAGCAAAACCGCCCATCAGAGCCATCGTTAGCCATTGGTCGTTAAGGTGTAATCTCAAAATACCTATATCTACTGATGTGGCAATAGGAGCTTGATTTGGTAATACGCCAATTTGTCCACTATTAGTAGATAAAATGATTTCTTTCACTTCTGAATCCCAAAGTATTCGATTAGGGGTCAGTACACAAAGATTTAAGGTCATTTCTTCAAATTGATCTCCATTTCTAAGTTCATAGCCTTTGCCATACTTTTAGTTTTTACTTTAATTGTTTTAGGTTAATCGATCCTTTTTGTGATGTAAAAACGGCAAAAAGTTAATTTTCTGCAAAAAATCTCTACAGTCTCTGGCTGATCTGCAAAAAGTTAATTTTCTGCAGTCTCTGCCTGATATGTTTCATAAACTCCATGGTTTGAAGGACTACTTCGGTGCTTCACATGACCCTATGACCAACTTCTCCCCAAAATACTGGGGTACGAAACTTCTATCCATACAAGAGCTCAAAAGGTGGGGCACCAATGTTGGAGTGATAGTTGTTGTTGTAGGAGAACTCCGCCAAAGTTAGGTAACCATCCTAACTCCCACCAAAAACTATAACACAAGCGTGCAAAATATCCTCAAGGGTCTGGATAGTCAACTCACTCTGGCCGTCAGTCTGTGAATGATAAGCAGTGATGAAATGTAGCCTCGTGCCCAGTTCCTCGTGAAACTTTTGCCAGAATCAGGAAGTGAACCAAACATATCGGTCTGAAACAATGGAGACCGAAACCCCATGAAGAGCAACGATCTCTCGGACATACACATCAGCCAACTTTTCGGCCGAAGAGCTCTCCAGGATGGCGAAAAAGTGGGCACTATTGGTCAACCGATCCACGATGACCCATATAGCATCAAAACCCTTGGCCGTCTTTGGAAACTCGGTGATAAAATCCATGGTGATCTATTCCCACTTCCACACGGGAACCTCCAAAGGCTGCAACTTGCCATACAGCCTCTGATGTTTAGCCTTGACCGTCCTACATGTCAAGCACCTCTCGACATACAAGACTATCTCCCTTTTCATACACGGCCACTAGTAACTCGATCTCAAATCTTGATACATCTTGGTGGCTTCTAGGTGTATTGAAAATCTAGGCTTATGATCCTCCTTTAGCACTAACTGCCGGATCCCACCAGAAACTAGAACCCAAACCTGATCACACCGGGTCAATAACCCCTGACAATCGGTGATAAAACTATCAATCTCGCCCCTGATCCTCTCCTGCTTCCAGTTCTCCTTTCGAACTCCCTTTGCTTGTGCCTCTCTGATCAAGCCCAAAAGCTCAGAATCAATAGATATCCTCATACACACCTCTCCAACTGAAGATCCAACTGACTTGCGGTTCAAAGCATCCACTATCACATTCACTTTACCCAAATGGTAAAGGATCTCGCAATCGTAATCCTTAACCACGTCCAGCCACCTGTGTTGCATCATTTTCAGGTTCGACTGATCCATAAGATATCTTAAACTCTTGTGATCCATGTAGACAATACAACAGACCTCATAAAGATAATGTATCCAAATATTAAGGGAAAACACCACTGCCCCCAACTCCAGGTCATGAGTAGGATATCGCGTCTCATGCGACTTCAGCTGCCGCGGAACATAGGCAATCACTTGTCCCCTCTGCATAAGTACCACCCCAAACTAGTGATGGATGCATCACAGAACACCACAAAATCCTCAACACCCTCTGGAAGAGTCAACACTATGGCCCCATATAACCTTTGACGCAACGTCTCAAAATCATCCTACTACTCTGGGCCCCACCAGAAATCCACTCCCTACCTCTTCAGACGAGTGAGGGGTACAACAATCTTGGAGAAATCTTAGATAAATATCTGATAGTACCCCATTAAACCTAAGAAACTTCTGATCTCTGAGGGAGATTTTAGAACCTCCCATTGCATCACAACCTCAATCTTGGTAGAGTTGACCAAAATCCCATCTCGGTTATCAAGATGTCCCAGGAACTGGACCTCTCACAACCAAAACTGACACCTTGAGAACTTGGCATACAACCGTAATTCCCACCTCAATACTCCCAAAATCTATCGAAGGTGCTCCTCGTGCTGCTCTCTAGTCTTGGAATACACCAAGATATCATTAATGAACACTATAATAGATCGGTCGAGCATCGTCATGCACACCCGATTCATCAAATCCATAGACACTGCAAGCGCATTGGTGAGCCCAAATGGAATCACCACGAACTCATAATGCCCATATCGAGTTTGGAACATAGTCTTCTCAACGTCCTCCTATCTCACTCTCACCTGATGATACCCACACCTCAGATCGATCTTGGAGAACCAAGATGCACCCTAGAACTGGTCAAATAGGTCATCAATCCGTGGAAGGGGATAACGGTTCTTCACCGTCAACAGGTTTAACTCCCGGTAATCAATGCACATCTGTTGTGAACCATTCTTCTTCTTGGTGAACGATATTGGTGGTCCCCTTGAAGAACTGCTCGGTCTGATGAACTACTTGGCTAATAGCTCCTGAAGCTGAGAGGACAACTCCTGCATCTCGAGTGGTGCCAAGCGGTACAGTGCCTTAGCAATCACAATCGTACCTGAAACTAGATCAATCCTAAACTCAACTTGCCTCTCAGGAGGCACACCGGGTAATTCCTTTGGGAATACATCGACAAACTCCCTAACAACTGAAAACATCTAAAACTGAGATCTGCTCCCTCACCCAAACATCGACCAAATAATCCAGATAATGTCACAACCCGATATTTCGAGACAATATGATGGAACACAAGTCAAATTTAGGTCAAAATTAAACTTTCTGAAAATCTTTTTGGGTTAAATAAAGTAGTAAGAATCGTATCAAGGTTTTCGTACATATAAAGAACCCTGAAATCCGAGTTATAACGAAGAAGTTATGACCAAACGAAGATTCTCGGCAAAACCGACAACACTGATAGACGTAAAACGCGAAGTTTCAATACAATAATTTTTAGCCTTAGGTATCTAAATGAAAGATTTTTATATCATTAAACCGTAAAAGTACATAAAAAGAACGTCCTAAATCTGACTTCGTATGAAGAAGTTATGATTTTTCGAAGTTTCAGACATAACAGTAGACGGCTAAAAACTCGAAATCGAGATCGAATGGCTTTTTGCCAACATGACCTAAATGAGAATCGAAGATCTCATCAATGGTATTACAACGGTAAAAAGTCTGGCGAAAACAGACATCGGATGAAGGAGTTATGGAATTTTAACGGACTTTTCCTGTCCCGACCTATTAAAAATATAATATTAAAAATAAAGTCAAAATTTGCCGACGGTGTCTAAACGAAAGTTGTAGATCGTAGTCTCACCTACGTGTGGATATAAAGAACGTCGAAAACGGAGTTCGTATGAGGAAGATATGAATTTTTGAAGTTTACTAAATAATTAAAATATAAATTTAATTCAATTCCGGTATTATCCGAAGGAGGAGTCATCAGACCAATCCAAGTTACGCCTAGCGTACTCGGATGCTCGGTCTTAATCCGTCCACATCGGTCTGATGCTTCGAGCGAGGATGCGCTCAAGCATGACGCATGAGTACGCCCCGCGTACTCTCGTATGCCTAGCGTACCGAGGTCCTCCAGCCACTATAAATAGAATGCGAGGGTGCCGGCCATTTTTGCTCATTTCTTTCCTTTCTCGCGCTGAAGCTCTGCATTTCAACCCTTGGAGCCATGCCGAAGCCTCGTTTTTCATATCGAGGTTTGGAAGGAAGTTTTACGCTCCCGAGATTCCCGAGAATCCCAAGAAATCCGCTTTCTCGAGTAGAAGTTCTACTCGGTTTTCGTCTCGCTTTCTTTAATCAATCAAGTGAGTTCATACCCCTACATTTTAAATGTTTTATAAATGCTTTTATATGCTTTTAAAGGGGGGGGGGGAATACAAGTAAAACACACGATTATTATCGTGTGTTATATAAAGTTTCATTATACACTTTTTATCAACGAAATCTTATGTGATTTATAACTATTATAGGGAAACTTTCGTATGCAAAATATATCACGATAACATCATATCTTTTGAAATTAAAAATATTGTTATATATGTATAAATCAAACACTCTGCTTATACTGTATGTATATGTGTCCATCTTAGGCACTACAAAAATTATACTTTTCATAACAAGTGAGTAGTTCACTAGGGATTACTATACAAACGAGACACACTTTTAGAAAACTATAATAGGTATAGTTTTACGAGAACATCATGAACTTTTACATACTAGAAATACTATTTCAAGGAGATACATTCATAGTTGTGCTTCCAACAAAGGTTCCTTTATACTTAAACTGTTTTTGTCAACCAAATACTTCCAAACCATTTTATAAATTGACATCAAGTCGATCTTTTCTTAGGTATTAATCTTTTTCAAAGGTTTTATAAAAACTCCTTATATACCTTTATACTGTCAATTGCATGTCTGTATATGTATAGTTATATAAATAATGTTCAAAGGACATAGGAAGGCTAACCCGCGTTATTTCCTTTTCCCCGTTGGGATGTGGTCTGGTAGGGTATCGGGTATCCGTCCGAAGGTCGTTTAACTATCAGTTATATATCATGTGTACATATTGAGACATAAAAGTTTCCACAGTCAGTTCAGTACCTTTGGATAGCAAAGGCATACTTCAGATTATACACGTACATGATTAGTAATTATTATAGGTATAGTTAGGAGATACGACTTACTATTCCAAGTACAGGGAATCACACAAGAGTCAGTTCATTCATGAGTCTATACGAGTACATTACATGATACATGAGTACATTACATGATACATGAGTACATTACATGATACATGAGTACGTTTAGATAGACACACTTACATGAGTACGTTTACATGAATACTTTTACATGAATACTTTTACGTAAGATATTATATGGTGAGTTACTATTACATATTATATGTGTAGATACTGTTATATATAATTCTCCTTCTTATCTTTACTTTGTGATAACAACCACATAATCGACGAGATAGATTGGACTTTATATCCTCGTTCTAAAGGATACTTTGCGGGACTAACCATTCCTAGGACCGCTGTTAGCTACAGAGGTAAATGCACATTTACGGATGTCTTCAGTTGATACCATTATAGGTATACTTTAATGGACTAACTATTCCTACACC